TCGCTGTAACACATGTACGCGAGATTAAAAAACTCCAGCTACGTCAATTCGTACGTGTAGTGTTTTTCCAATGATGTCGCTTACTTCCGAATCGTAAGCCGTAGACTTTCGCCATGTAAGCGTGTTTCTTCATAATTTGAAGTGCCTCGCCCTGTTCCATTTCCATGTCGCGCCTTACTTTGTCCATAAACTTCTTCATCTACGTTTATTTACGATTTATGTGTACTTTGCAAAATGCTTACAAGCAAATTGTTATTTAACTAGACGATAGAGTACTTACTGTAGAAAGTTGATACCAATTTATATTGTACTTTGCAAAAGAGCCCAAGCTCATGAGCACGAACGAAACGTACTTTAGCATGAATTCCCTGGTTATGAAAACCACACACTGGAAAACGTAATAAATTATGGAAATATTCACAGAGGGGCATTTGACGAATATTCCTGTTCAATGAAAGCAAACATAATATACAATATATATAAGTTTTTAAATAAATACAATTTAATTTAATTTAATTACTGTCTCTTTTTTATTTATTTATTAGTTGGACTATTCGTTACCAAGAATTTCTATGATCAAGGGATTAATAGAAACAAATCAATTGCTACTGAACTGAGAAATTTTAAGAAATATTGTGTAATAATAAAAAATATTTGTAGAAGAATAGAAACTAAAAAGGAAAACGCGCCACGATAGTGGATCTTCAATTAATAAGGTTCAGATTGTGAAACCTTCACGCGGATTTAGACCGTTTACACATACGAGAAACATAACTCAAAATTTTATGTATACGAATAAAAATTTTTTTTTTAATTAAAAGAAGGTATAAATAAGGTATAAATAATGATAATGACACGATTAGCACAATGCAGTTACTTGAATGCACGCTCATTACTGTGTTCAATCGAAGGAAGTGTGAGAGCTACATAATGAAATAAAAAAAAAATTAAATAATAATCACAGCACCTGTGCCACGATAAAAATAAAAAAATTGAAACTGATGAAGCTGTTTTTCAAAATGGTGAATCTCGTGTTCTGATACGGCCAAAGTCCTATTACTGTTAAGAGAATTCTAGGGAAACTATAATACGCCAGTACTTCGACCATCGCGTATACACAATGATTCAAGAACGACTGACTGCTCGCTTCTTCGATTTAATTTCCCTCT